AAGATGAAGGCACAATTGTGGGTCACGATAATCTGAAGATCTACATCACCGATATTATAAGCAGTTATTTGGACCGCCGGAGGATAGCGCGGTGTCCCTCGATGAGTCCAGGACTGAGGATATGCCTCAACTAACTGCTTCTGATAATGCTACCTTGATTGCACCGTTTACGGAAAAGGAAGTTTTCGATGCCATTACCCAGATGGAGAACAATAAAGCTCCTGGGCCGGATGGGTTTCCGGCGGAGTTTTATAAAAAATGTTGGCATATTATCAAGGGGGATCTTTTACCCATGTTTCATGACCTTTTTGCTGGACGGCTTCATCTATTTCACCTGAATTTTGGAACCATAACCTTGCTACCAAAGAAGACAGATGCTCTGAGGATTGAGCAGTTCCGGCCTATTTGTCTTTTGAATGTTAGTTTCAAAATTTTTACCAAGGTTGGGACGAATAGACTCACACAGATTGCGCATTCTGTGGTGCAGCAATCCCAGACTGCTTTCATGCCAGATAGAAACATCCTAGAAGGGGTGGTGGTTTTGCATGAAACGCTCCATGAAATCCACTCAAAGAAACTCGATGGAGTCATTTTTAAAGTGGACTTTGAGAAAGCGTACGACAAAGTTAAGTGGCCTTTCCTGCAACAAGCTTTGCGTATGAAAGGGTTCGACGAGGGCTGGAGGAGCCAGATTGAATCGTTCACGCAGAAGGGTAGTGTTGGTATTAAAGTGAATGACGACATTGGTCATTATTTCCAGACACACAAGGGCTTGCGGCAAGGAGATCCGATGTCCCCTATTCTGTTCAACATAGTTGTGGATATGTTGGCTGTTCTGTTAGGTAGGGCCAAGGAGGCAGGCCAAGTTGGAGGCTTGGTGCCTCATTTAGTTGATGGAGGTATCTCCATCCTGCAGTACGCTGATGATACTATTATCTTCATGGAGCATGACTTGGTAAAAGCGAGAAATATGAAGCTGTTGCTTTGTTTGTTTGAGCAATTGAGTGGGCTCAAAATTAACTTCCATAAAAGCGAGTTATTCTGCTTTGGTAGAGCCAAAGAGGAACAAGAATCCTATAAACAACTGTTTGGGTGTGGTTTGGGGGAGCTGCCATTCACATACCTAGGAATTCCTATACATCACCGTAGGCTTACGAACAATGAATGGAAGTGTATTGAAGATCGATTTGAGAAAAAGCTAAGTTGTTGGAAGGGTAAGCTCATGTCATATGGAGGCCGGTTAATTCTTATTAATTCGGTGCTGACGAGCATGCCCATGTTCCTTCTGTCTTTCTTTGAAGTACCGGTTGGGATAAGGAAAAGACTGGACTTCTATCGATCGCGTTTCTTTTGGCAGGGAGATGAGCTAAAAAGAAAATACCGGTTAGCGAAGTGGGATATCATTTGTAGGCCTAAAGACCAAGGGGGTATGGGGATTGAAAATCTCGAGGTCAAGAACCGATGCCTTCTTAGCAAGTGGTTATGGAAGTTATCTTCAGGAACTGAAGCCACTTGGGCACAAATCCTTCGTAATAAGTATCTTCAAACCAAAACTTTGTCTCAGGTCACGGGTAGACCGACTGATTCACCCTTTTGGAAAGGGCTAATGAAAGTTAAGCTTTCATTCTTTCAGAGGGCAAAGCATGTTGTTGGAAACGGTGCCAGCACGAGATTCTAGGAGGATTGTTGGCTCGGTGATACGCCCCTTGCAATCCAGTATCCGGCGTTGTATCGTGTTGTACAAAGGCGTGATGCTATGGTTACAACAGTTTTTCGTTCCATTCCACTTAATATTCATTTTAGAAGATCGTTAGTGGGCAATCGTTGGGAACAGTGGCTGCATCTAGTTGGGAGACTCATGCAGGTCCAGCTTTCACAACAACCTGATAAACTGCGCTGGAACCTCACTAGGTCCGGGGAATTCACTGTTAAATCAATGTACGTTGCTGTTATTAATTCCAGCTCGATCCCGACCTCCAAGCATGTGTGGGATGTTAAAGTTCCTTTGAAGATTAAGGTGTTTATGTGGTTTCTCCATAAAAAAGTTATCTTAACAAAGGATAATTTAACAAAGCGCAATTGGACAGGTCCTACTAGGTGTAGTTTCTGTGATCAGGGTGAAACCATTAAGCATCTATTCTTTGATTGCCCACTAGCTAGAATTCTTTGGACAACTGTTCATGTGGCTTTCAATATTACTCCACCAATTTCGGTGAACATGATGTTTGGAGCTTGGCTTAACAGGGTAGAGCCCGGGTTAGCTAAGCATATTCGCGTGGGGGTGTGCGCCTTAGTGTGGGCGCTTTGGAATTGCAGAAATGATCTTGTTTTTAACAGAACAACAAACACTCATGTTTTGCAGGTTATCTTCAGAGCCACGGCACTTATCCGTTCCTGGTCGCTACTCACTCCGACGGAGGCCAGGGAGCGTTTGGTTACTGGTGCTATCCGATGGGAGATGGTAGCACGGGATATCTTCAGCCGGTTTGGATGGCGGTCATGTAATAGGATAGGCAATTAGTTTACCTGTCTTTTGTTCAGCCAACCGGTTGTGGTTTATCCTTTGTTGGGCTAGCTTATGTATCTAGCCTTTGGGCTCTGTGTGAGCCTTGTCGTTTGTTTTTTTAGTTTGCTACTACTGAGACTTCGAGACCTTGTGGATGTTTTATTTTTAATAAGATGGCCGTATGCATCGTGCTGATGCAGAGGCCGGGGATCCCCCCTTTTCAAAAAAAAAAATCTTCTCTTGCGCCAGCTTCAGATGGGACATATATAGCAATCATATACAGTACGGTATTTTTTTTTAGAAAAGGAGGAATACCCCGTCCTCTGCATCTAGTCGATGCATACGGCCAATTTATTAATTATTAGCACAAAACCTTACAACGTCGTACAACAGTAAGATCAAAGCCACCATCTTCGCAACCTCTGTCGCTACTCCTATCTAACTGATGAAGGGGCGCTGATGGTCTGGGCCTAATACCAAACAGACCTCGCAGCCAAACCTAACATCTAAGACCTGAGGTCCCAACCTGGACGCCTGCCGGGTATGGGCACCCACCAGTCCGGCGTGCTCCTCAATCAGGCCACCTGCCGGGTATGAGGCCGCCACAACCACCTACCACATATCCATCTTCAGAGATGTATTGTTGCAACGGCCTTGCCCGGTCTCACTGCTGCCGACGCCAGACAGCGTCGACCTCCTGCGCGTGTCCGTCACCACACATCTGACGCCAAGCCTCCGCTGCTCCATGCCGCCAAGAGCCGCCGCCAAGAATATGTAGAAAGAAACACCGCTCCACCGAAAGGGGGGCAGCACACCCCCACCCCTCGCCTGCAGACCCTTCCATCTGATCCCAATGTCCTTGGCGCCGCCTCCAGGAAGGTTACGGTGCACAGGGCGCCACCGACGCCCGATCCGCATCGGATCTTGGGCTTTCACCCGGACATGGGTCGGAGAGGAGAGATGGTGCCCTCAGCAGCGCCCCCAAGGAGGAAAGCGGCGCCAAAAATCGGCATCGCCGCTGCCGGCCAGCCAAGGTAGCCAAGGTTTCCCCCGGACACCGATCTGCTCCACCAGAACACACCGGAGGTGGATCCGACAAGATCCAAACCGAACCGGGGACTGGGAAGGGATGCATGGAAGGGAAGGGGGCAATACCTCCAGATCTGGCACGCCTGCGGCTCGCCGTCCTCACGGCCGAACCCTCAGGCACGCCGCACGCCACGCCAGCAGGGCCGCCGCCCCTGGATCCGATGGCCTCCGCGAAGAACTAAGCGCCGAAGACCCCGCCGCCACCTTCCCCGGCGCCCGCGCGGGCTTTCCCGGCGGTCGTCTCTAGTGGCGGCGAGGGGGGTGGGGGAGGTGGGGGGAGGCGGCCGCGGGAGGTGATCCCCACGTGTATATACGTACGCCGAGTCGTCCAAAGCTTGCACTGTTAGGACGTATACACACAGCACGCTGGGTTTTGATTACTGGCTTGTATTCTGTCTCCTGCTGGTGATGTCTCCCAGACCAAAAGAGATGGCCGGACGATCCAATGTAGACTACAGTCGTACGTAGTATACGAGACACACTTGATACGATCTTATTCCGTAATGCTGGTCCTGGTCCACCATGCCTTATATAATAAAGAAAAGGATGGCAGTTGAACAGCCTGGCTAATAATCTTAGCTACAACGAGTCGTTGGCCTCACTGTCAGAGATGATAATACTGGTGCACTTTTAAGGCTTGCTTGACAAGCCTCTAAATGCAGACAGTCTTCTGCAACAACCCAGATGCCTCGGCAAAAATTCTGGTTATACTCTGCCAACCTGATGAGTTTACTGAAAAAGAATCTGAACTTTGCATGATAAGATGTTTGTCTATCAGTTTGGGGAAAAGTCTGAAAGCTTCCATCAGATGCTTAGTGCTAAGATCACACGTGTACAGAATACGTGCCACATGCACGTACAACAAAGCACGTACGTATGATGTGGAATATTTGAAGCTTGGTCCAAGAGTTGGGACGAATGATTCTGTCTGTTAGCTCAGATGTCGCCCTACATGTGAGTGTGATGTGATCTACATCTACTGTCAATGAGTCAACCAAAGAGAGCAACAACTCAACGTACGGAGGAATGTGAATACTATAGGGGGGAAATGGGTGAACTGAACCTGACAGAACTGGCCTTAATTAAGCAAGAGATTCCTCACACTGCATCAGCATTGATATAGGACGTCCATGATGCATTGTAGTACAATATGCTTAGTGGTAGTTTGCTTGCTCGTGGTTTGAACTCATGGCCACATTAGGTATAATGAGCCTCAGATGCAACGCATTTGCGCATATGGTCAGTTATCCAAAATAGCACCAGGACGGGCATCGTCCATCGGGAGAAATCGACGAAACAAAGGCTAACATCAAGATGCTCAAAAGAAATCTGAACCTAAATCTAGGTAGCCTTCCACTTCCAGGATTTGTAGTGCTGGAACCCTCAGCTGAGCAGAACTCACAGATTAAGAACAGTCTGCTTCAATGGCAAGTGTTTTGGTGACGCCAGGGCATGGATCTTCCCCGAATCCCTCGTCTGACAGCGAAACTGTACAGCTGTTGATGTTCAGACAGGCCTGCAGAGAATAAAAAGGACCGCTCAGGAAATATACAAGCTTTGGTCTGGTCAATCAAATCTTAGATCTCTATGTAATGATGATCCAGAAACAGCTCTTGGACACGACTCGCATGGCACGCATGGCAGCTTGGAAATGGAATGTTAAAACTTGCTACCACATGTCTAATCTGTTCCCAGTTGCACCATTACTGAAGTCTGCAAAGTCAGAGCTGACAGCCATCGAATTCCAAGACTAGATTCATGTGCACCGATCCAAATCCACGTGCATCAGCACTCCTAAGCCAGATTTTGATGCCTATCGAGTTCTGGATAAGAATCAGGTGCGGTTTTACGTCGAGAAACCGGAAATGTTACCTTCTCAACAACAGATAAAGAGCCTGAATGGTGGCAGCTTCCTTGTTGGTAGGATCTGCAAGTTCCACTGGGGTCTCCGAAGCTCGCAAACTTAACTGAAGAGATGTTTTTGCCCTTGGGGCAAGACAGCTCTACTTTTGCTGCTACTGGGTTATCATCTGAGATACTTTTATCCCAGGACTCCAAGTCTATGGAAGGATAGTTCTCCGAGACAAAGGAGCAAACACTTGCCGCGACTCTTCTTGAGAATGTAATCTTCGTGGGATCCCCACCCTGCTCCTCAAAGACCACAAGGGTGTTCCCTGATGGGTGAAACCATGACCTTGGGACATGGTACCTTTGTTCAAAAGTGAAACAGAAATGTGAGACACAAGAGAACAATGGCATAACATAATTAGGATGGTGAGCTGTGCCAAATGTCGGTCACGTTACCATCTTTGAGTTGGCTTTCCACATCCAACCCTGCACTTGTTTGGAGAAAATTTCCCTCTGTAGTCGCAGCTCGGAGTGCACCTGTCATCAGTAGGACTGGTCCTGGGCCAGTACCTCCCTATGGCATTTCCATTCAACCAAACCAGGCCTTTCCCCATGGACTGCATGTCTAGCCCAACGGGGTCATCTCCTTGTGGAACATCAACATTCACCTAGAAAGTACATTGGATTATTGGTACACGTAATGATGTGAAGAGATCATCAAGAGTAAAGATTGTAAGATGTTACCTTGTACCATGTCAGAGGCTGATGTTTTGGTGGCTCAGGTTCTGGCCTCCACCTTTGGTTATTCCCCTGATCGGGCTTAAATAAACTGTAATGTTCACCTTCCAACCCAATCTACCAACAAATACATAACAGAAGAGATAAAACACCCATCTCGATTATGTCAAATTCTAGACATAAAAATCTGGAGTTGAAACATATAGGTAGCTAAGAAATACAATGCGCTTCCAAATTGAGTTCTCAACAGAAGTTCCAAATGAAGAATATTGATGACAGTACCTTGTATGCCCAATTATTTGAAGACAAGTCCATCGTTCCATTTTTTATTCCAGAGATGTTCACACTGGTAAGGCCAGCTCCCACCCATTCATAATAGGGTCCTGCACTCTTAGAAAGTGCAAAAAGTTACAATCAGATAAGCAGTTTTAACTTTCAAGTGACCTGCTATTAGATAGAAGTTAACGAAGGGCCGTAGGCTCTAGGCTGATCTTCTCAAAAGTGTGTAAACTGCATATATATATATATGCACATAAAAATAGCATGGGCATGTAAAGAACAGCATACACATAATGCAATGTTAAATAGTTCGTACAGGTAGAGAAGCTTACTTTCAATCCAACAGTCATACTCAGTAGTGCAATTTCATTCTTCCCAGCCTTCAAGTTGATGGGCATATGCACACTGAAACTTGATTCTGAGCCATTACCATATGCACTACCTGAGAAAGACATCTATGAAAGGTAAGTGTGATGACAGAGCAACTCAAACTGAAGAGAACTGTAGATTGTAAAGAAATACTCCCTCCGTTCCTAAACATAAGTCTTTTCAGAGATTCTAATATGGACTACATACGGAGCAAAATGAGTGAATCTACACTCTAAAATACTATATTCATCTGTATGCAGCCCATTTTCAAATATCTAAAAAGACTTATATTGAGGAACGGTGGGAGTAGTATCCAAGGGTCAGAGGTGCTGCTGACGATGTATGATTCAACAACCCTCTGAAGAGTTGTTATAACAACCTCTCTACTTCTTAAGATATATTTTGACCAGGCAAAAAATGTTTATACCCCAAAGAGCAATATAGGCTGAATTAGAACAGCACAAACATTATCTCTCAGTGTAAAGTGAGTAAAGAACAGACCTATGAGCATATTATTCAGGAAAGCGTGAACAGCATGGCCTTTGGAGCCGATATTAAGAACGGGATGGTTCCCAGTTGCAGGATAATTTCTGTCCACATCAAAACTGCAAATTTCATTCAAAGAATGGGTCACGTACAGAACTGGAAGTGCTTAGCATGGTACAGAACAAAATATACTACTCCTTCCGTTAACATAAGTATTTTTAGAGATTTATACACACTACATACGGATGTATATAGACATATTTTAGAGTGTAGATTCACTCATTTTGCTTCGTACGTAGTCCGTAGTGGAATCTCTAAAAAGGCATATTTAGGAGCGGAGGGAGTAGAACATAAATAACACAAAGACCTCCCCTCTTTAGTTGATACCAAAAAAGCTTATCAACATACTAAGAATACATGATACAGCCTGTAGTAGACGAACCTTGTAGTGTGCCACAGGTAATCAGTAGAGTCTTTTGTTGTATTAATATGGTCCACAAATTCATTTCGTACGAAGTCATTTTTATCCCAAATGCCGATTCTCTCTGTGAAAATGCTCCACTGATCAGATTTTGATGCTTGCAAAGTTTCTGGTACCATGTCCACCATCAAAGTTTGAGATCGAACCTGAATATGATCAATCATCAAGAACCGAAGTCATAAGAGAGAGTCGTGAGCTAAATATTGTGTTTCTCAGCTAAGCATTGAATAATCTGATGTTGTCTATATACTTTTCTGAGGAACCATATTGTGAGCTAGTCGTGAGCTATACTTTTCTCCTTTTCACTTCTTCTGTTATTGTCTGTTTCATTTTCTCAGAAGAACGATGTCCATTTAAACAAGGCTGAATGTGTTTTATTCTGAAAACCATTAAAAGGAAAATCAAATACCTTCGCAGTGTTGAAAACCACATTCTTGCAGTCAGGTAGGATGCTAACTGACCAAGCAGGAAGATCATATTGTCTGTTCCTGAAAGTGACAACTTTGTCCTTTTCTGAATCAATGTTAGCCAGGAATGCAACACATCCTCCTGAGTGATCAGTGTAAACATCAGCCTGCAAGCAGAATTTGATATTATCACAGGTTGAGGTTGACTTAATGATGTAGTCAATATGTGGGCTATATTTAAAGCAGCGTGTATCATGTAAACACAAGGTGCTATTTACAACAGAGATAAATTTTACTACTTAATTTTAGACTAAAAAGAGAACAAGCATGTAGATGTAAGTGTATCACATAACTGGATCGGTGCAGCGTTAGATCAATTATAACCCAACAGAAGACAATAAAGCTTACCTCTTGTTGAGGTCCAAGAGAGAGTGACGTTGAGTTTCCAAAAAGCAGACTATGTTCACACAATTTTATAGATTTGTGAAGCTCCTTCAGATGTGCCCATTTTGGAAGTCGCCTAAGGCCTGAAATCCAGATGAAGGAACAATGTTCAGATGGTTCTAGGCATAAGATTATTGATGGATCCAAGATCAACAGAGCCTAACCATATTCATCAATTGGTGCATCATAGTCATAGCTAGTTGTAATGAAAGGCCCTCCAGAAGTACGATCAAAGTTCGTTCCACCATGGTACTTCAAAAGGACAATGAAGCCTTGGTCAATTTTCAGTAGGATGAAATCATCATCAGTTTCCGATAAATAAAAAATCATCATCATTAGTTACGCTATCAAGTATCAATTGAAATATGATTTCAGATGTTTGACCGTAATATCGGAGTGTCTTTGTCAAGTTAGAATATGAGATGTGGTATCCCATGTTGAAGTTATAATAGAAGAAAAGTTAGAATATGAGCTGTGGTATCCCTTGTGAAGTTGTAATACAAGTTAGAATATGAACTGTGCACAAAGCAATACCACATAGTAATTCTGAACGCTGCCACCTTTCCCAAAAAAACGTGCAACAGAAAATGCAACATCCTCAGGGGGTCTGTGGGGATTGCTTTCACCAAAAGTCTGGAACCTAAACCAAAAAAAATATGGAAATAAATAAGATGCAAGAGATGCTTTCCATACCGTGTTATGAAAATTAGCAGAAGTAACTGTAATTATAATCGGTTACTAATGAAAATGCCCCAAATGCATTACCATCCTGGCCAATTCTCTGTCCAAATTTTCGGCTGGGTTGGCGAATTTGGCTTGAATTGATCGCAATAGAACGAATTACAGGTATTTATCTGCAAATGTCAGTTGCATCAATGAATAGATCTGTCCAAAAAGACCCCGTACTGCATCTGCTAAGAATTATCACATATCAATCGCATCAGCTACCAAGTTCATGCATGTTTTACCAAGATGCTGCTAATCACATAACAAAGATTTTTTTATGAAGACATAACCATGACTATTTGTGCAAGTGCATTCTTACAGTCCTGACTCCTGAGAGCAGCAGGAGTTCTATATTATTATTTATTAATAACAAAGTTACATATACTGATAATCGGCTGCTTAGTTTTGTCCCTATTGCAATGGCCCTCTATTTGAACACAATTTCATGAGCAATCCATCATTCATAAAATACTTCCTCCGTTCCTAAATATAAGTCTTTTTAGAGATTCCACTACAAACTACATACGGATGCATATAGACATACTTTAGAGTATAGATTCACTCATTTTTGCTCCGAATGTAGTCCATAGTGGAATCTCTAAAAAGACTTATATTTAGGGACGGAGGGAGTACATCCTTAACTGAAGAACATTGCAGTTGGGCTGGCCATTCAAAAATAAAACTGATGGCATACGTTGCAAATTGAGTGAAAATATGTACGATGATTGATGAGGTAAATCCATGTCCCAACTGTTGCATAAAACACAAGGCACTGAATGTGAGAAACTAACCACATGATCAGGAACATCGTACTGCTGGCACATGATCCAAGGGACGCCCGTGTTCTGCGCCAGAGCCATACTACCTGCCCACATTGCATATGCCTTGCCACCAGCTCCATACGCTTGTTGATAATATCCATACTCATTTTCAATCTGGAATGCACAAACTTAGTTTCAGACAATCTGATCATGTCAGTTGTGACAAAGACCGGACTCAAAGTTGATGGAATCACAACCTGAGCTAGGATGATGTGCCCTCCCTGCGAAGCGAAGAACCGCTCCTCCTTCATCATGTCCACGATTTTCGTCGTGAAGCTCTTCATGTGAGACTGCACCCAAGAAAACATCGCTAGAATTAGCAGTTACCACAAAGCACTACAGAAATCACATGCCACCCTCACGGCCTCACCTTGAATGGCTCGTTGTTCGTCCGGAACACCGTTCCAGGTATGTAATGCAGCCACGCAGGCACGCCCCTGAACCCACACACAGAGCTTAAACTGTTCATTACACCAGAAATGGAGATGGCAGCAGATATGCAGAGCTGCAGTGAAAGGGAAGGAAGCGGACCCGAAGTTCCACTCGGCGGCGACGAAGGGGCCGATGCGCAGCATGAGGAAGAGCCCGGCGTCCTTGACGACCCTCGCGAACTGCACCAGATCGAACCGGTCCTCGAAGTAGTACTGCAATGCATTCGGCAGTCGCACATGAAAACTCACCGTTTGTTGAGAACAGACCAAATGCAGCACAAAGAATTGAGGACGCGCGGGCGCGGCGGGCGGACCTTGCCGGGGGCGGTCTCGTGGCCGTTCCAGAAGACGTAGGTCTCGATGCAGTCGGCGCCGCCGTCCTTGGCCTCCGCCAGCAGCTTGGGCCACATCTGTGAGCACGCGCAGCAGTCGAGGTCACTACTTCTGCTGCCCTGCTAACGTATGTGCCGGGGGAGCGCAGGGGGGCAGGGGCGTACCGCGGGGACGCTGCGGGGGTAGTGGATGGAGGCGGAGATGAGCAGGCGGCGGCGGCCGGAGATGACGAGGGAGCGGTGGTCGTACGTCACGCCAGAGGCGGCGGCCGCGGCGACCAAGAGCAACGGATGCAGCAGCAGGAGCAAGGGGAGCAGCCGAGGACCGGCGGCGGCGGCCATGGCTGGAGTCGACTGACGATGCGCGTACGGCGCGCCGGTGGTGGTTTAAATAGAGCGCAGAGCCGGTGTCAGTGCGCGGGGGAGTGTGGTGGGAGCGAGTGAGACGCCGCGCCGTGGATGGATGGATGACAGCGATACGCTCGGGAATTATTGCGCCACGCGGTGACTGGTGTTTTTCGTGGGGCACCGGACCGGAGCCTGTAGGGATTGGGTGCTCCAGTCTACTCTCTCCGTTAAGTCTTTGCAGAGATTCTATTATAAACTATATACGGATGTATATAGATGCATTTTAAGTATGGATTTATTCATTTTGCTTCGTATGTAGTCCATCCAGTGAAATCTCTACAAAGACTTATATTTAGGAACGGAGGGAATACAATAAGTGCCCGTGCGCTGCTGGCTGCAGTGTCCTAGCGGCCACACGCCAACGGCGACGGCGGCATCGGGTTGCGGCCGGTGGAGATGGACACGAGAAGGAAAAGGTAGCAAATCGTTTCGATTGCAGTGGGGAGCGGCCCGGCCACAGAAGAGTGCTTCCGTTCGGGGCGCGCGCAGCGGATGGGGGCGAGACGCGGGGTGTGGGAGGAACCCGTAACCGGGAAGAGTGGAGCGAGTCGGCGTGGCGTCGCGCCCCATGTGACCTCGGTCGGACGAAGGCCCACGGCGTCGGCCGTACTTTTTTTAATACAATACAAACGCAAGCGCTCGTATACACGCGTAAACACTCACCCTTATGAACACATACGCACATCCTACCCCTATGAGCACCTCCGAAAGACTGGATCGACATATCATCGTAAAATTTATGAAGTTACTGTCGACAGCTCGTCGTCAACGGGAACATCTCCTCCCACTGAATGCGCATCGCCGGAAATTTTAAAATAAATCAAAAATAAATGCGAGCATCAGGACTTGAATTCTGATAGGCTGAAATACCACAGTTCCTCTAACCATCCAATCAAAAGTTGGTTCACCGCGTCGGCCGTACTAGACAACCGTAGTCCCCACCCGTGCTCGGTCTCCGGAACGCTGCCGGCGGTGCATCGACGTGGAAACGAATCATTTGGAATTTCGACAGGAAATGAGTCGTACGGCCCTGGTAAGCCGGAGTAGTAAATAAACTTTTTTTCTTTACAAATCATCTCCTCATTTGTTTCAAAAGGATCGTAGCATCGCTTTTGGCGGTGTCCATCCAGAGATGCCAAGGAGAAAATCTAGCTATTGTCAATTCATGTGCCACTTAATTCCTCTAAAAAAAAGATCATAGATGACATGAATAAAGTTAAACGGCATAAAATAACAGTCATCAAAGATAACAGAAGCTGCTGAAGAAGAGTAACCATCAATTAGGGCAGCAACAACCGCCGCATTATCAGAGTTGACCTCGATCTTATTGCATCCAACTATACGTGCAAGGCTCGTTCCAAACCTCACTGCAACTACCCCTGCCGTGACTGAGTCGAGCAAAGATCAATCTTTTAATTAGCGACTGCAATGAACTTTCCATGATGATCTTGCATGACTGCTTCGACCGTCCTTTGTAGCATGTCCACATAAAAACCCACATCAATGTTTGGCTACCGTAGCCATGTCTTGGATTGTATGAGATAATATAGCTAGTTGCTAAACATCTCACCATCATATTAATTTGAGCAACATTTTGCGTTTCTTCTTCGTGTGTCAACTTAAACGCTCACCTTAAAAAGGGAGGATATAATTATAATTCTATTTAATTTAATGTGCCAAGATCCTTCCTGTAGCGTTGTATACTGCATTGTCGTTCTTCTCTCTTCACTAGTAGAAAAAGGGCCATTTGTCCCGGTTCATAAGGGTCTTTAGTCCCGGTTTTGGAACCGGGACTAAAGGGTCGTTACTAAAGCCTACCCTCTTTAGTTCCGGTTTTTACACGAACCGGGACTAAAGGCCGTCCACGTGGCCGCTCCTGGAGCTCCACCTTTAGTCCCGGTTGATAACACCAACCGGGACTAAAGGTATTTTTGCAAAAAAAATGATTTTTTATTATTTTCTTTATTTTTTTATTTTCAAATTTCTGAATTATTTTCCAATTTAATCTCTAATCACCCCTCATCACTGCTCAATTTAATCTCTAATCTCTAATCACCCATCATCATTCCAAATCATCTAACTTCCAGGCCGGTCACCCATCCTCTCACTACTCCAGCCTGACAATAGTAAGATGTCAATCCTATTAACCCTCAGGAGTTTAGCTTGAGCATGAAATCACACATTTCACTGTTTGAGTTTGAAACTATTATTCTAAAAAACAATAATTATTTAGTAACACTAATATTTCTTCAGTAAGTAGTTTGACCAGATTTGACCAAAATTCAAAAAATTGAAACAATTATTTAGTAACACTAATATTCTTGAATAATTATGTAGTAACACTAATATTTCTTGAATAAGTAGTTTGACCATACTTTGACAATAGTTTGACCAGATTTGACCATAGTTTGACCAGATTTGACCAAAATTCAAAAAAAAACTGAAATAATTATTTAGTAACACTAATATTTTTGAATAATTATTTAGTAACACCAATACTTCTTGAATAAGTAGTTTGACCATAGTTTGACCAGATTTAACAAAAATTGGAAAAAACTGAAATTTGAGCATAACTTTTTTTCCTTTTAGAATTTGAGGACTCTAAAAATTTGCAAACAGGCCAAAGGCGGTCAAAATCGGATGCGGATTTTCGTGCTGAACATTTGATATATTATACATTTTTTTCTGACATCGTATACAAAAGTTATAGCCGTTTTACATTTTCCCTACACTTTTTGCAAAACATGTCCAAATTTAAGTTTTTAAATTTTCCTAACTAGTACATGTAATAACATAACTACATCTGGAAGGATTTTAATTTTTGAAGTTTTTATCATTTTCTTTTGCTTTTTACAAAACT